ACCTTGGCGCTAGCGCATCTTGCCACCTTGAGCACTAGTGCATGAGCGTGACATCTTCCTTGTGACATCAACGTGGCATGCTTGTTCACAGCGGCACGTTGGGCACTTGAGCTACTTAACATTCACCCGCTTTCCCCACTTGAGCTTTCTTCTCAATCGACATACCGCGGAGATTTTGCTATTTCACGTAGCTTATTACATGGGCATCATGCTTTTTCGCTTCGACTGCATATGTTGAGCGCACCCGACACGGCACAGCCTCGACTCATTACGGCACGACATTAATATGGACACATTTATAGACCTTAATTCAAGAAACTCCACGACGTACGAAAGTTCTTTGCTTGAGAATCCATTTGCGTGAAAGTCTTTTGGCAAGCTTCGCGCGTGCACACTCAAATGGAGATGCATGTGCACTGAGACTCCCAGATGAAAAGTGAGAAAAGGAACAGCCAAAGCAAATTGGTGGGCAGACACATGCATCCTTTCCGAAACTTTGCACTGCAGTTCTTACCGTTGCTCGCGCGCAACCGGAAGCGGCCTATACATTTGCGCGCGCAATGAAGTTGGTCAATAAAAGGGAACATGGTCGTCAACCCCTGCATACCTACCGTATTATGTACACTACCCATCGCTATTGGCTTGCCTTCTTTAGAAGGCACCCATAGCATTCGATCACGGATTTCGCCGATTTTGCCGTACGCGGGGCGGTGCGGGCCCTGGCGTTCGTGGCCGGTTCGATTTCGATAACCTAAATTTTAGCACCTCTAAAAGGATTGACTGTGCCAAATTAGAATTGGACTCGTTCGGTGTGCAATGCGGCGTAGCTGGTGATTCATCGAAAATTACCGACTTGAAAGTTTCTGTGTCAGGACAAAGTCAACTTTTGTGGAGTGAAATTTGGAACCCGTAAACTGACACTGAAACGGACTGTCGTTTGTTCGATACCCGATTGCTCCCCATTTTACGGACAGTCTAGGAACGTCAGTCTGCATTGACGTGCTTCGTCGTGCTTCATCGGTTGTGGGCCGGGAAGTTTTGGTTTTGAAAGCGGTTAGTCCCGTTCGTGCTACAAGAGGCTACAAAACCGTGGGGTTTAATATTAACAGCTGAGATTGGGTTTCCCGAAGGTCGACACTGGCACAATTCGACAGTTCAGGCTTGCTCTGCATGCACGGCGCGCGGCCGCGCAAACGCCCGTCGAATCCACTGAGTAAACCTTGAACGACTTTAACCGGATCAAATTCCTTGACCGGCACGCCGGTTCTCCGTCAATCAGGTTGTTCTCGGTGCGTCGTAATTGACGGAAAAGTTCCGCAATTGACGGGCAGTTAGGGGATGGCAGTCTGCGTTGACGTGTTGGGTTAATCGCCGTTTTATTAACTCGAAGAGATTCGGATAATTTTTCGACACCGCAGGCAAGCCATAGTTCTCCGGAGGAGAACTTTAAACTCGTTAAAACCACGCAGTGACGATATAAACCCAATTCTCCGACCCAATGCTCAGGCTGCAATACCTACCGTACTGCCAAGGTATGATTCCGAATGCTTGAAAAATTCAATTATTTTACAGAATGCGAGCCCAAATGTTGTATTATTTTCCGGAATCCCGAATGAGACGAAAGGTACCCAGGTACCCTTATTTAGTGGGTCGTAAAGGGCACCGGTACGTACCTTAAGCCCATACGGGCTTC